GAGATTAAAGCCAGGAACTATGTGTGTCAGGGTTGTATGTTTTCACCATACCTAATCAAATTATAAACCAAGCAAATGATCTGAAAAGCAGTACTATATGAAAAATACTGTGTTATTAGGATTGGAGGAGGACTCAGTAACAACTTGTAATATGCAGATGGCACAACTTTGCTGAAAAGAAAGAGGACTTGAACCACCTCAAAGACGATGGTGTTCAGTATGGATTAAACCTCAGCATAAAGAAAACAAAAAGCTTCACAACTTTTTGTTCTGAGAAACTATCGACATTGTCAAGGATTTAATTTTCATTGACTATACAGTCAATGCCCATGGAAGATGCAGTCATGAAATCAAATGACATATTACTGCTGCTACAGAAATGTTCAAAATCTGAAGAGGCAGGATACAAGTCTAAATACTGAGGTATACTTGACTCAAGCGGAGGTATTTTCATTTGCTTCATGTGAAAGTTGGAAATCCAGTACAGAAGATCAGAAAAGAATTGATGTCTTTGAATTATACTGTTGATGAGAATATTGAATAAATGATGAACTGTCCAAAGAACAACAAAATCTGTCTTGAAAGATGTTCAGTCAGAACGTTCCTTAGAAGGAAGAATGGTGAGATATTGTCTCCCACAGCGTTGGCACGCCATCAGGTGGGTCCAGTCCCTGGGGAAGGACATCATCCTTCGAAAAAGAGAGAGGATGTGAAATAAGAGAAGATGCTCAGTGAAATGGATTGACCCAGTGGCTGCTTCAACACAGCAGAGTGTAGGAGAATGGTGCAGGACTGGGCAGAATTTTGTTCTTTTGTACGTAAAGGGTCACTATGAATCAGAGGCAGCTTAACATGACCCCAAAACAATAACAGCAATAAATCTATAATTGAATTCTCTGAATAGGGATGGTGCATATATCCACAGACAGCAGTCTGTAGAAAAAGAAACCTAGTGGCCACAGAGATTTAACAACTTCCTCCTCAGCCTCCCATCAGAGTGACAGAACTGGGGAATAAGAGGAGGTTGTTACTGCTCAGAATTTACCAAGTGGTATATACCTTAAAATGAGATTGCTTCCTAAGTATCAAAATGACCAAAGAGCAGGATGACTTTGTCTTCATGTTTCCAATTTAAAGTTTCTCAAATGCTCATTGGAATGGATTCATTGCTGACTCTCCAGGGAGTTTTTGGAGGTTGTAAATACCACGGGAGTAACTTCTTTCTTCTCACCCTTCTTTCTTCCCTGGAGTAACTGGATTCAGAAGCAATGGGTTACAGTCCTAAATAGTAAATACTACAACATTCTTCTAAGAATACTTACATTCATTAGTCATTGTAATTCAAGAGAGGAAAATGTATTCCGCTGAAGAGGGTGTTTGTGCTTACGGATTCTTTTAACCAGTATGGTGCAACCACTATGGAGTTTTCTCAAAAAGTTGCAAATAGAAATACCATTTGACCCAGCAATTCCACTACTGGGAATATACCCCAAAGAGACCATAACTGCCATCCAAGCAGAAATATGGACACCCATGTTTATCACAGCTTTGTTCACAATAGCAATGAGATGGAAACAACCTATGTGTCCATCAACAAATGAATGGGTACAGAAGCTGTGGTATATTCACACAATGGAATGCTACACTGCATTGAAAAACAAGAAACACATGAAATATTATTTTAAATGGGTGACCCTAGAGGACATTATGCTGAGTGAAATAGTTCAGTCACAAAAGGACACATAGTGCATAGTGCCACTGTTGTAAAACGAGACTGATATAGGGGTTATGGGGAGACTGAGAAAGATGGGATAATTAATGAATACTGCACTGAAACAGATGAGGGAGAAAACTGTCTAAAAGGGATATGTGATTAGGTATTATTGTCATAACAGGAATCCAGAATGAAGGCTGTATAGTGGAGTGAACCTGGGGGGAGGGATTGTATAACAATGAAAGAATTTTTCTTTTATTTTTCAAAGAGAAGAGTGAACTGGGGTGGGGGAGGGTTGGGCAGGGAGAAAAGTGTAACAATGAATGAATGGAAATCCAAAGTCTCTGTATTTTTTTCATTAAGATTAATAATAATAATGATAAATAATAATAAAATCTATAAAACAAACAAAAAACCTCATTTGCTCTTCCTTATAAAATGTTTCGTAAGTTAAGCCACTCATGTGGTTTTTAGAGGGAAAAAAATGGTTAGGGTTTTGGCAGCCTGGGATGATGCTCAATATCTATACAAGATATATTTGATAAACAAGGTGTCTGCTGGCCCCTCAAGAAAGAAGGTCACAGTGGGACGTGGTCAACCCTTTCTGTCTTCTTTGATCCTGACTCAGTGTCATTCCTGTTTAGACCAACCTTGAAAAGGTCACAAGGTTTCCAAATTAAAAAGTCTCAATAAAAAGGAAAATTGATCCAAGCCAAGAATTTGGAGACTCTGGGCTTTGGTCTTTCTTTAAAATTCTATTCTCCAAAAACGACCTGCTTCTGGAATGGATCCAGTACTTTACAGTCTTTATTTCATTTATCCTACACACTTATTCTAAGATAAACTTTATCCAAATAACACATTTTGTCAGTTGGGGTGAAATAAAGGGTCTATGGTTACAACCCACCAGCCACTCTTTGAGATTTAAGATTATTAAGATTTATAGCTTCAGAAACTCCATAGATGGGCTGCCATGAGTCAGAATCAATTTGATGACAACAGTGTGTGTGTGTGTATATGTGTGTGTGTATGTTAATGATAACATTAAAAATATATTAGTTATAGAAATGTGTGTTTTGGAATTACAAAAACAAGGTCATTTATTTAGATCAATTTTAATAGGCAGTCACAATTTTCTTGTCAAATATAAGATCACTGAGTTTCCAAAACACACGTTGTTCTTGAGCACTGTCAAGTCAGAACAAAACCAAAGCTTACCCTCCAGTGAGTTTCCAGAGGCAGTTAATCACATGGGAGGAGACTGCCCATGCTTCTCTTTCAGAGCAACTGGCTGATTTGAACTGCAGGCATTTGGGACTGCAGTGCAGGTTCTTACCACTAGGCCACCAAAGCTCCCCCCAGTGAATTATTTAGCTAGAATTTTGCTCAAAGCTGTGTATTTGGCTACAATGTACTACTGCTCGTCTCCATCTTCCAGCCCCTCTGACTGTAGACATAGTAGATTTTCCTCAATCCAGTGCCTGTCCTCTCACCTTTGATCAGTTATACCCACAGGGAATGTTTTCACTCTTCTTTCTAGGTCTTTCTTCACTTAGTGAAACACTCCCAGCTAAGGTTAATCTTAAACTATACCATTTTTAGAACCCTTTTCCCACATTTTTGCATTCCCTAGATCAGGACTTTTAAAAATAATTTGACCCACAGAGAGAAAAAGAAACCCTGTACTATGTTTAGGTAGCGTGATATTGAATGTACGTAAGCTCTGGTGACCTAATGGGTAAGGAGCTGAGCTGTCAATCCAAAAGCAGATGTGTGAATCCCCCAGTTTCTCCTCAGGAGAAAGATGGACAACAGTCATCCCTGCCTTACCTTGTGCCATCTTCACCATTTTAGGTACATGCACTGTTATAGTCACTGTGTCAATCCATCTTGTTGAGGGTATTTCTCTCTTATGCTGATCCTTCAACTTCTCAAACATGATGTCTTTTTTTCAAGGACTTGTCCTTCCTAACAACGTGCCCCAAAAATGTGAGACGAAGCTTCACCATTCTTGCCTCAGTGGAACACTCTGGTTGCACTTTCTCCAAGATAATTCTTTTTTTCTTTTGGCAGAACGTGTGATATTCAGTACTTTTCTCCAACACTGCAACTCAAAGGCATCAATTCTTCTTTTGTCATCCTTAACTATCATTCAACTTAATTCATAATATAGGTTCTCTGGCCATTGTTATGTGCCATCAAGCCAGAACTGATTCAACGCTGACCCTCCATCAGCTTTTAAGAGGCTATAAGTCACACAGAGAGGATCGCCTACCTGCCTCTCATGGAGCAACTAGTCTATTCAAACTGCTTGCCTGTGTCGGTAGCATAATTCCTTACCTTTAGAGACCCCAGAGCTCCCTATAAGTTCCCTCAGTTGCACAAAATGTTTGTATTTTCCTGCTAATGTAAACTGATAAAGAAAACAAACATTCTTATGGCTTGATCCATAAATATCTTAATGGAGAAAAGATTGAAATGGTCAAAGATTTAATTTTACTTGAGTCAACAATAAATACCTACAGAAAACAGTATCAAAGAAGTCAAATGGTATATTGCAATAAGCAAATTGGCTTGCAATGACTCTATAAAGAGCAAGAATGTCACTTGCACTAAGGTGTTCCTGATGCAAGCTACAGTATTTTCCATTGCTTTATATGCTTGTGAAAATTGGACAATGAATAAGGAAGTTAAAAAATGAACTGATGCCTTTGAATTGTGATGCTGATGAGAATGTCAAATATACTATGGCCTGCTCAAAGGAGAAGCAAATGTGTCCTAGAAGAAGTAAAACTAGGGTGTTCCTTGGAAGCAAGGATGGTGAGACTTTACCTCATATCCTTTGGATGTGTTCTCAAGAAGGACTAGTACTTTCTTATGTTTGATGTAGTCTTAGTGCCAGATACAGTGCTAAGCAATTAGTAGGTATTCCTTAAATACCTGTTGGCTGAATAAATGTTTGCCTTTGGAAGGGAAAAGCATATGCACATACATATTTTTGCTTAATGTTCATCTGAGTAAAATGAAGCTCTATAGAGCTATTCTCTTGTCCTTATTACCAGTGGAGGCCAGCATTTGTGCATCCTTCTCCCTAGAAATAAAGCTTTGGACATTATCTATACATCTGCCTCAGTGTTCCATTTTCCTTTGCCTTATAAAAAAAAATCCTATAGGTGACCCCTACTGATGTGAGACCTTCAACAGAGTTCTTCAATAGCTTTGCTATTTGCTTGTCCATGACCCTCCCTTTCGTCATTTGCCAACTTCTACCCTCCTGCTTCAGTACCTGTCTTTGCCCGTCTCCTTCTTGAAGAGCTCGTCAAATTGCAGCATCTTGTGGCGTGTGATCATGAAGGCCTTGAGCTTGGGCAACACCTGGCTCAGCAGCTGCAGGTTGTTGTAGACCTGGCCCTTGCCGTCCCGCCGCATGTAGCTGCTGGGCCCCCAGAAGATGAACACGGTGCCCTGACTCACATTGAGCAAGTCCTGGCGGTTGCGCAGGATCCTCTGGATGCTGGAATGGGCGATGACTCGCAGACTGGTCCGATTGCCCACATCACGCCCGTAACCTCGCGTAGGAGCATCATTCATGCGAATGACACACTCTGTTTCGTCAATCTGTGTGCCTTGCTGGCTGCGCAGCAGATGTCCTGAGCTTGTCACCAGGGCACAATCTTTGCAGTGCATTTTCAGGGGCTGGAAGGGAAGGGGAGAAAGGCATTGTTAGCATCAAGTGGACTAACATCACTTTATATTAGGAGGCTATTTCCCTGCTTTCAGAGAAAGGTGCATATCCCTTTTTCCTAGGAATATAACCTTCCTGTTGCTGCTTTATTGCTGCTTTTATTCTATTAAAAATCGGTGACAGAGTTGAACAGAAAGAAAGAGATTTATCTGTTAAGTATTGGGCTTGGAACTTTACTGATTCTATGTGACCAACTCATCAAAATTTTTCCAAATTATCAACCTAGCAAAGTTGCTTCTCTCACCATGAGAATGTCCACATTTAGAAAGGCTAAAGGCTAACAAATCTTCTGTAGGATGCATAACTAGAAAGTAATCAAGGCATATTTTTAAACACAGATCTTTCTGAATGTAAAATTGCATCATCACTCCACCACCTTCCGACTCAAAGACAAATTCGTGCTGCAATTTACTGTGAGTTGATTCTGTTCAATCACCTTATTGAGACTTAAGTATTTATCAATATTCTTGGCTATTACACAAATATGTTTGTCTGGAATGAGCATTATTTCAGAATCACTGGAAAATATATAAAGGGTATAATCTCTTTGCTGCCATAATTTAGAAATGACAATTGAGATTCTTTCTCCCACATTCAGGGGGGAGAGAGAGAGAGACTTAGTTGTCTTATCTGTAGAAAAGAAAGCTCCATATTCAGCACCACATACCTCAGAGTCCCTCTCTTATCTGCAGTGAACTTATGTCTTATGAGAGCCTGACTGTGTGCTTCCTAGGGAAAATTCTTATGTCAATGTTCATTTCAACACCTGGCACAGCAACGATTTGATGTCTAGACACCTAAGTTCTAATAATCAAGTATTACCCTGTTTATGTTAAATGAAAAAGATCTACTAGTTGTTTTTTGAAGAGAATATAATTATGGCCTGAGGGGCAAGGCCAACAAATACACAACAAAATGACAAACAAGAATGTTCTGAAGGAATACTTTACATGGTTAGGTTTTTCCCATCAGCGGCTCTGCCCTTCTCTGTTAACTTTGAGCAAGGTACATTGGCTCCCTCCACAGCCTCAAGAAATCAAACTCAATTTAGTAGTACATATATTCAGTCCTGTATTTTTAATGGAAGTTTTCTGCGTCCTAGCTCTGTCTTCAGAATGAGAAATAGAGCACCTTGAGAGCAGTTACATTATTGTACTCCTCAGAGGCCAAGAACACCTGATAGTCCCAGACATGTCTCTATTATGCATTAACTAGGAGACCTTGGCAAGTCACTGATCTTTTTTAACCCTAAAGTCAAGGCAATACTCATTCTAGCTTGATATAATGAAAAAAGTTTATAAATATACACTATTAGTGTGCCATTACAAATGTGGCTGTTGTGTATGGTTAAGTTGGAACCAACACATGGCTGACCCTCCATCGAGTTTTAAGAGGCAGTAAATTACACGAGAGGAGATTGCCCATTAAACTTACAAAAAATAGCAATTGTATGTTGCTGAATCTAGTACTTTGTGTAGAACTGGGCATAAAGTAGTCAATAAATAGTCCCTGCTATCATGATAACCTATCAGTGTGGAGTATTTTGCAGCACTCAGTAAATCAGTATTTACTTTGTGTCAACTGATACATTAACTTGTAAAACAGAGAATCTACCATAAATACTCATCATATTCAATTATCCTTTCAAGATATTCAAGAATTCCTTGGTGATAAGCACTGTGCTATATCATAAAAATGTAAATAAAGAGATAATAGAAATTCTTAATGAGCTGATACCCCAGTGAGGGACAGTAGGCCAGCTGTTGTTGGGTATCAGAACCATTGTTGACCCTCTGGAAGGCTTTCAGAGGCAGTTAATCTCACTGGAGAAGATGGCCTATCTTTCTTCCGAGAAGCAACTGGTGGTCTTAAACTGCATGCCTTTGGAATTGCAGTGCAGCTTCTAGCCACTAGGCCAACGTGCAATGAAGTGTATGAAGAGAGATGGCTGGACCAAGCAAGGTAAGATTAGAAGACATAATGCAATGAATTGTCAATTAGCTAATATGTGAGTGCTCACCACTTAGTAGACACTGTTTGGTGCTCTTTATGTAATATTTGCTTTAATTAGTCAAATTACTCTGTAAAGTATTATTATCATACCCATTCTATAAATGATACTACTGATTTCTAGAGAAGGAAAGGAAGTTCCTCAAGATCCTACTGTTAGAAAGTGCCAGAGCTGTGATTTGAACTCCGGTTGCACAGCCATTCGATTAAGCAATGTCCCATTTCAGTACAACAGAATAAACAGAATGCTATGGCTGTTTACTTTACTTCCTGCACAACTTTCTAACTAACTTCCAGAAATTAATTGATGCTATTTTTTAACAGTACTGTTGATACTGTTCTTAGACCACTAGATTAGGTGAATGTAGTAAAGATTGCAGGGTCTTCTACCTAATGCCTGTATCTCTCAGATGTCTATTCACTATAGACCAAGTCACAGCTACATGATGGTGAAGTATGGTTAATGTCAAACTAATATTTGAGGAATAATCATATCCTAGATTCTCATAAAGCAATAGATTATAAAACTATTACTATTACTAAAGGGGAAATTTAACAAGACTTTCTTATCAAACATATTATTGTTGTGTGCTATCAAGTCAGCTTTGACTTGTAGAGACCTGAAATTACAGAGCTGTGTCATCCACATAATGGAGGTTACTGATGAGTCTTCTTCCAATCCTGATGTCACATTTTGCTTCATAGAGTCCAGCTTCTCGAGTAATTTGCTCAGCATACAGTTTAAATAGGTAGTTAGAAAGGATACAACCTCATGGATACTTTTCCTAATTTCAAACAAAGCAGTGTTTCTTTGCACAATAGCCTCTTGGCCTAAGTATAGGTTTCTCACTAGCACAATGAAGAGTCTGGAATTCTGATTTGTGGTGCTAGCCTAAAAGTTGGCAGTTTTTAGCCATTAAAGTTATACCCCTCTGGTCTTCAGCCAACTTAACACCTGGTATTGCAGATCAACATGGTCTTGAAAATCATCAACAGCTGTGGGAGTAGGTTAAAAGAATAAGTGCTTTCCACACTGGGAAACAAGACTTGGTAATGTGGTATTGGAGAAGAGTGCTAAAGATTCCATTGACTGCCAAAAGAACTAACAGATATGTCTTGGTGTAAGTGCAGCCAGAGTGCTCTTTGGAGGCAAAGCTGATGAAGCTTCATGTTGCTAGGAAAGGTTATTCCTTGGAGATGGACATTATGTTTGTTAAAATGAATGGATGGTGAAAGAGTGAAAGACTCTCATCCAGGTGGGTTGACACCATGACTGTGGCAATGGGCTTCATTTCTTAGTGCTATGACAATTGAATACCACAAACTCTGTTTGTAGCTTTAACCAACAGAAATTTATTTTTTACAATAACATCCACAGGTATAGTTTGAATTTAGGTTGTTTTGACTGTAGGGGAATGCTTTTTCTGTTCACTCTGGGGGGAAAAAATTGTCCCAGCTTTACTCTCTTCCCCCATATTGAATCATTCTTTCCTTTATTCTTGTTTGCTTATCTTTGTGCATAATATGCTGTTTAGATCTTAAAAAATGATTGGCTTAAAACACTACACTAATTTGGGGAGCTCATGATGGCCTAGTGGATACAGAGTTGCACTGTGACACTAAAGGCAACTGGTTCCAATTCACCAACTGCTCCTGGGGAGAAAGATGGCAATCTCTTTCTGTGCAATTTATTGCCTCTGAAAACACATTGGACTGTCAAATACAAATTGTTCAAATTGAGAACAATGATAGAGAGACAGAGAATATAACTTAGACTTAAATATTGCAAAGAAAACACATTTCCCATGTGCAATAATGTTCACAAATACAGTTGCTTGAATTTATAATACCTATTTTAGGGAAAAATGATCTATTTTGGTGGCATTAGTGGATAGAAAGCTGTAATACCAACCCCAAAGCAAGTGGTTTTAATCTACTAGCTGCCCTGTTGAAGGAAATAGGGCAGTCTCCTCCCATTCCTCTGAACACAGACTGGAGGGTCAGCTATGAGTTGGTTCAAATTTGACACATGTAACCATAACAACAATTCAGTCAAAGAAAAGGCGAAGTCATGATTCTATCAATCCAGGATAGAATGAGCAAAACAAGGCTTGAATAGCATTTTTGGATTTGGTGACCTCTAATGAAACAAGCCTCCGTTCATGGAGGTGATTAAATTTGGACTGTGATGAGAGGTGAGAACATAAATTTAAAGTTGGTTTGGAGGGGCTGATGAGATGGAGGGGTGATGGTAGAACAGAATAAATCTATGGGACAGCTCTGACCTTTCTGGTGACCAACCATTTGGTTGGCTGTAGTTGGACTGGTTTTAAAATGGAAAGTTCTACATTCTAGGTATTTTTCCAGTCCCAATGTACCATTATTGAAACTCATAAAGCTCATTTAAGAAGATTGTACCAAGTGACAAGTTGTTGTTGTTATGTGCCATCAAGTCGCTTGCGACTCATAGCGACCCTATGTATAAGAGTTCTAAATGCTGTTCTATCCTGTACCAACCTAGCCATCTCAAACACACTCATTCCCACCACTTCAGTCATAGAATCGATCCATCTCATCGAAGGTCTTCCTCTTCGCTGCCCCTCCACTCTGCCAAACATGATGTCCCTCTCCAAGGACCAGTTCCTCCTAGCAACATGCCCAAAGTATGTCAGACGAAGCTTCAGAATCCTTGACTCCAAGGAGCATTCCAGCTTCATCCGCTCCAGGACAAACCTGTTTGTTCTCCTAGCAGTCCATGGTATATTCACACTCTTCTCCAGCACCACAGCTCAAAGACATTAATTCTCCTTTCTATCATCCCAATTCACTGTCCAACTCTCTGCACGTAATTGTGAAGACTATAGCCCAGATCAGGCATACCTTAGGCTCCAGCCTGACGTTGTTGCTTTTCAGTACTCTTGAGAGGTCCCTCACAGCTGGC